AAGTATGTATTGCTGTATAAGTGGTAAAAGAGTCAGAACACAAAAGGAATTTCTTTTACCTTTTCAAGCTACCTTGACATTATGAAAATATTAAGTCTAATCATCATAATAGTCCTTGCACCTTCCTGTTTTCCCACTGAAACCTTTTCAAATAAGTTTGAAAATTATTTGGTTTTTTCACTGCTTTGACAGAATGCTGTGATAGGTTTTAGTCAACATTTTGCAGGAACAACACCTTATCTGTCCCCAGTCAATTATTTTCTCTCAGTTGAGCCCTAAAAATAATTCTAACCTGATTTTCTAACCCCTAGTTACAATACCAGCAGTGTTTGCTGAATAAGAGGAAGAAGGGTTAAAAATGCTTTGTTTCTTCAAGAAATGTATCTTACCATAAGGACTCTCAATAGTACACTATGATGCTTATTGTGAAAATACCTGCTTCAATTAAACAAAGAAGAAACTACAAAACCAAAGTACAATGTTACATTAAGAAAAACACTAAGTATGTGAGAAGTAGAAGACAATATGTAGAGGGTAGAGATCAGAAAGATATTCCATTCATCCATACTTACCCCATCACCAAATACAAGCTCAAAGTTTTCTCCTGAAGTCAGTTCCTTGCAAAGGTACTCAGCAAGTACAAGGAATTGTTAATAAGAGTCTCAAAGCCTAACGTTCCCTGTTGAATATCAACATATTTACAGAGGCAGTCATAGCAATGATTGACATTCACTACATATTACATAGAGATAAACATAATGACAGAAAATTATGGGTTACGCTGACCTGATAACTTTGTGTTGTGAGGAATACACCAGCCTAGAGTATGCCAGCAACAGCTTTATACAAGTAAGAAACTGTTATGAAATAATGTCATTTCTGGAATAAACATTGTTTTTTAACTAAAATAACACAATCTATAAAGAATCTAGGCAGCTTAGGTTACCAGTGTGTCCATGTGTTTGTTTTTGCCTTTTAACTGATATTATTTCCCATTTAGTGATTAATACAATAATCCTCATCCACTAAGGGGGTCATGTTCCAGAAGATGAAGTTGGTCAAGCAGGACCTGTGCCTTTCATAAAACCCATGCTGACTGGGCCTAATCACCTGGTTGTCCTGTACATGCCACATGATGACACTCAGGGTGATCTGCTCTATAACCTTCCCTGGCACCAAGGTCAGGCTGACAGGCTTGTAGTTCTCCAGATCCTCCTTCCAGCCCTTCTTGTAGATGGGAGTCACATTTGCTAACCTCCGGTCAACTGGAACCTCTCTGGTCAGCCAGAACTGCTGATAAATGATTGAAAGTGGCTTGGTGAGTGCTTCTGCCAGCTCCCTCAGTACTCTTTGGCGGATCCCATCCGGCCCCACAGACTTGTGTGTGTCTAAGTGGTATAGCAGGTCACTAACCATTTCCCCTTCATTCTGCTTCTTGTCCGTGTCTTCCAGCTCAGGGAGGCTGGGTACTCAGAGAACAATTGGTCTTATCATTAAAGATTGAGGCAAAGAAGGCACTAAGTACCTTAACCTGTTCCTCAGCCTTTGTTACTATGTTTCCCCCTCTATCCAATAAAGGATAGAGATTCTCCTTAGCCCTCCCTTTGTTGCTAATGTATTTATAGAAACAATTTTTATTGTCTTTTATGACAGTAGCCAGATTAAGTTCTAGTTGGGCTTTGGGCCTTCTAATTTTCTCCCTGCATAACCTCGTGACAACCTTGTAGTCCTCCTGAGTTGCCTGCCTCTTCTTCCAAAGGTCATAAACTCTCTTTCCTTCTCTGAGTCCAGCCAAAGCTCTCTGTTCAGCCAGGCCAGTCGTCTTCCCCGCCAGCTTGCCTTTCGGCACATGGCGACAGCCTGCTCCTGCACCTTTAAGATTTCCTTCTTGAAGAATGCCCAGCCTTCCTGGACTCCTTTCCCTTCAGGACTGCCTCCCAAAGGGACTCTGTCAACTAGGCTCCTGAATAGGCCAAAGTCTACCCTCCAGAAGTCCAAGGTTGCAGTTCTGCTGACTCCCGTCCTTACTTCTCTGAGAATCAAAAACTCTATCATTTCATACCCAAGACGGCCTCCAAACACCACATCACCCACATGTCCTTCTCTGTTCACAAACAATAGGTCCAGCAAGGAGCCTTCCCTAGTTGGCTCCCTCACCAATTTATATCAGTGATTTTGAGAAATGAATACAGCTGCCCTCTTCTCCATGCTTTAAAAAGCATGTTTACCTTGGATGAATGTTATGAGGCTTTTTAGCTGCTGAAGAGTCACGTACCAAAACAGGATTTCAACACCGTGGCCTAAGGTTTTGAACTCATTTCACCTGACCTTCACCACTTAGAAGTTTGACTTGTAGTTTAAACTGCTTTAGGATCTCTAAACAGTTAAAGAGACCAGTTAAAGGAAAGATGCTTGCAGAGTGTTTGACGGCATTTTTAGCTTCACCATTAGGGGAACAGGGAACCTACAGGTTTTAGTTTAAACAGGACACTTAATTCAAGTAACTCCGGAGAGGGGAGATGAACCCCACATCCATATAATTTCTAATGTCAATGAAACTCATAATTAAGAGAGTTTCTTAATATTTCCTGCTGCACTCCAATTTCAAGTTTACTTTTATCTTTATTTTAAAATACTTATCGGTCTGAAATAGTGAAAGAAATCTGTTAAATTTCTGGAATAAACCTGTATTTTCAGAGTTCCTTCCTACCTTTGCTTTCTACTTTAACTAAAGCTTGAAGACATCAACATGTCAGCCACACTGAATTGTCTTGTCTCCTGTGACAAAAGCTGTATCATACTGTTTATCTGGCTGGAACAGATAAGCCTGCACTCATCTGGTTAAAATATTGTAGAAGATCCTAGTAAAACAATACAATGGTCACTTTGTAATGTTATACGCGCAAATAAGTCTTTAGGAAAATTCAGTTTTTTCTTTCTAACTGGATTTTAAAAGAAAATAAGTGGGACTAAAAACCTCTCCTTGCTCAAAGCCACACCTCCGTCAACCAAAGAAAAATAAAGCTTAATGAAGCAGTAAGAGGATCTTTCCAGCTTGAACTCATGCAAATTAACAGCCAATCAAACATATGAGGAAGCATCATGTTATGTTAAAAGTGATCATTCTCCAAAATATGTTTTTTAGGCATTTAATTTTACTTCTAAGACAATATGTTTCCTGCTCTTCCTGTGGCTAAGAATGACAGCACAGACCTTGGTAAAACTAACCATCAAGGAAGCAACCCTGTTAACTTCTCATAATAGTATCTCATAGGCGAGTTGAGTGTATTTGCCATGTAATGTCAAGGTTAAAGACTATAAACCCCTACAGATAATTAATGCACCCACCACAACATTTTCCTGTGGCTTGTCTACATGAGAAAATTAGTGAGCACTTAGCTAGGCTATAAAATAATGCTACATTCCCTATGTGGGCTTTAAGCATCTCCATGAGAGGTTAGTTGTTGTGTTTTGAAAGCTACCCCATGCTGAGTATTTGAAGAACTATTTGCATAATGAAACAGAAGTAA